TCACACACACACACTCTCACACACACACACTCTCACACACACACACACTCACACACACACACACTCTCACACACACATCCAGAACTGCTCTGAGAGTCACTTCATCAGCATTTCACCCTTTCCTTTGAGTACAACTATCATCATCGTATCATACACACACAGAAGCGTAAACGTATTCATGGCAACCCGTCAAAATAAACGTTCGATTTATCTGGAATAAATTATGTCAGAAATATATTAGTGCAGTAGAATGTACGTAATACTACTAATAATAATAATAGTAAACCACATTTATTTGCCAAAATAAAGTGTGTTTTCATTTGATTAAAAGAAAATTAATTACTGTTTTATGCCTTCATTTGATAACCAGACGAATCAAAATACACAACACAGAATTTTTTGGGGGGAAAAATTTGTAATAAATTAAGTTGTTTTTATGCATTCAAATAATAAAACATGCTTAAACACATAATTTAGTAACAATAAAACAGAACGTGAGAAAAACATCAATAGGCCCAAATAAATTTAATTATTTGTTAAACTTTTAATATATCGATGTTACATTTTATAAGTTTCATGACTTTTATTAATTTAACATGCTTTTTTATTAATAACATTTAATTTAACCATTAAAAAGGATTCCAGAAAAATAAAAATGGAAAAAACAGAATTTGGGCAAAATAAAAAGGGATTTCATATGGCCATACATATTAGTGTTATGATGAAGGAATCACACCTTCCCTCATTCTGGTTATTAGAGGATTGATGACTGAGTCAACCACAGTCACATGACCGGAAACTCACCCTTAAAACTGATGTACTGTTTCTGACCCGAAGCCTCTGAGCCGCTGCCGTCTAACAAACAACAACAACAATCACATGACAGGAAACCATTCACACTATCAGCCTGTTATTAATCACATGAGTGTGTGTGTGTGAGTGCGAGTGTGTGTGTGTGGGTGTGCGAGTGTGTGAGTGCGAGTGTGTGTGTGTGGGTGAGTGTGTGAGTGCGAGTGTGTGGGTGTGCGAGTGTGTGTGGGAGAGTGTGTGAGTGCGAGTGTGTGGGTGTGCGAAGTGTGTGTGAGTGTGCAAGTGTGTGTGTGTGTGTGTGTGTGGGTGAGTGTGTGTGTGTGCGTGAGTGTGTGTGCGTGTGTGTTTGAGTGTGTCACCTGCTCGTGGTCCTCGTGGAGGGAAGCCAGGTCTCTCGCGCCGCTGATCTCTGGGTAATGACGACTGACCGTCCTGTTTGAGCTCCACCCGCGGCTGACACACAGACACACAGCTTTAGCATCACAGCCTTTCTGTGTAAAACGCTCTTCTGATGTAGAGACTCCTGTGGAGCTGCTTTACAACTGAAACCGAGTTGGTTTCATCATTTGTGCATTTGTTTATTTTCCTGCTGGTTCCTGTGAAGCTGCTGTGAATCAATCTGTATTGTATAAAGAGCTGTAGAAATAAATCTGACTGGACTAGATGTTCATGCCGCTCGAACGCGAATCCCTTTCATCTAACAGCACAGAAGTCAAGGATTCACTAAACTGCACACTGCACCGTTACACATGAACACAAACCTTGTGACTACTGACCAGCGATTTTAATCATTTAGACACTTACATTCTCCATTAACATTTGGAATTAATTTTTATTTTTTAAATTGAATTGTGAGGTATTAGTCATTTTGTTGTCTGTTTTAGTCATTTATTTGTATTTTTTTAATCTGTAGTCTATATAGTTTGTATCAAGTTAAACTACAACAAAATGACAAATGTTTTCTTGACAACTAGCTGAATAAAATAAGTTTTTTTGTATATTTTATTTCAGTTAATGTTTATTTTATTTGAAGAAATGTTTTTCATAGTAGTAGTTTTGGTTTCAGTTAACTATAATAACCCTGCTACTGACTGAGAAGGGCGTTTAAGGAACAGTTCATCCAGAAACGATCGTTCTGTCATCATTTCCAAACCTGTACGACTGACTTTCTTCTGTGAAACACAAAAGAACGCTGGGAGCCAAACAACACTGGCTTTCACTGAACGGACAGGAGATATTTCTGAAAGTCACACACGTTTGAAATGAGTGACAGAGCGTGACTGATGTGTGCAGAGGAAGCGTGAGACCGTGCTCTACCTGAACGCCGGCAGCTTTCACCACATGAGCCGGAGGAAGATTCTTACTGGTCACCAGAGCCCAGGAGAACGCCTGCAGACGACCACATCATCATCATCATCATCATCACACGCTCCACATCAACACTGCACTCACGTACCTTCGGTGGCTCTGGGGTCTGAGGGGGCGGAGTCAGAGTGAGGCTGGGGGTGGAGCCTCTCTCCTCCTCCTCTGGCTCCGCCTCAGCCACCTGCAGCTCTGCGTCTGGGTTTAGCTCCGCCTCCGCCTCCTGATTGGCCTCAGGCTGGGGCTCTGGCTCCGCCTCAGGCTCCGCCTCCTCCTGCTGCTCCTCGACTCCGTTACTGAACACAAACCCGAGCAGAGTATCAATAAAGCAGCTCAGCGCTCTGAAGCAGTGAGGAAGATCATCTGATGCAGGTACCTGACAGGCGGCGCCGGCGGCTCGTAGTAGGTGGTGCTGCTGGGACGGTCCGGGGCCGGTTCAGGGGAAGCCTGAGTCTCCACCTGCTCCTCCTCAACCTCCTCTTCTTCAGACTCTGATCAGACACACAACACACTCACACCAGTGCCAGGCTTTTCAAACCTAACTCAAGACCTTGAGAGCTCAAACTCTCATAAAATCTCAAAATAAACCCGGAATCTCAAAGTCTTTCCTCTCATTCAACCGCAAAACAGGAGAACAGAGTTTAAATACTCAAGATATGTTTTATTCAAATCTGTGTCACGTTCTCATATCAACACGCATGGAGATACTGGACTTTGCGGTTACGATACTCTTATTTTGAAATGTCTATGCTTTACTACTTCAGCTGCTCATTCAAAAAGATGAGATATCTGACAAAATATCCATCTTACATCCATCTACAACATATTATAATAGAAAAACCATAACGTAAACCTCGTCAGTTCATCAGGGGTGCATCATAATCAGTTGTTAGCTATAAGTGTGCAACATTCACTGATTGCGAGCGGCTCTGAAATGCAATCCTGTTGAACACTGAAACGTGCAGCGCTCATTTATTTACTTCAATCAGAGCTTTTTGAAGTTTAACAATCACATCTGTTTCACAATGACTCCGTTTTCCAAATTTAAGAGCTCATAATATGCTAATTAAAGCTCGTGTAAAGATGCAGTGCAGACTGAATGACGTGGCTCTGATCCACCGGAGCTCAGACCAGCACAGCATACAGCTGTAATCATGATCACGCATTAGACAGTGTGTGTACATTCACCTAAATAACACGTGTGCAGTGTAAACATGACTCACGTGTGACAGGCGTGTTCAGTAGTGTGTGTGTGTGTGTGTGAGAGAGTGAGAGTGAGTGAGTATGTGTGTGTGTGTGTGTGTGTGTGTGTGTGTGTTGTGTGTGTGCGTGAGCGTGCGAGTGAGTGTGCGAGCGAGTGAGTGTGTGCGAGTGAGTGTGTGCGAGCGAGCGTGCGAGTGAGAGTTGGTGTGTGTGTGTTTTAGTGCGTGTTAGTTAGTTAGTGGTGTGTGAGAGTGAGAGAGAGAGAGAGATCTGTAGTTTTTAGTGACCGTGCGAGTTAGCGTGCGAGTGTGTGTGTGCGAGTGAGCGTGCGAGCGTGTGTGCGAGCGAGCGAGCGTGTGTGAGTGAGTGAGTGAGTGTGTGTGCGTGCGCGAGTTAGCGTGCGAGTTAGCGCGTGTGTGTGTGCGTGAGCGTGCGAGTGAGTGTGCGAGCGAGTGAGTGTGTGCGAGTGAGTGTGTGCGAGCGAGCGTGCGAGTGAGAGTTGGTGTGTGTGTGTTTTAGTGCGTGTTAGTTAGTTAGTGGTGTGTGAGAGTGAGAGAGAGAGAGAGATCTGTAGTTTTTAGTGACCGTGCGAGTTAGCGTGCGAGTGTGTGTGTGCGAGTGAGCGTGCGAGCGTGTGTGCGAGCGAGCGAGCGTGTGTGAGTGAGTGAGTGAGTGTGTGTGCGTGCGCGAGTTAGCGTGCGAGTTAGCGCGTGTGTGTGTGCGTGAGCGTGCGAGTGAGTGTGCGAGCGAGTGAGTGTGTGCGAGTGAGTGTGTGCGAGCGAGCGTGCGAGTGAGAGTTGGTGTGTGTGTGTTTTAGTGCGTGTTAGTTAGTTAGTGGTGTGTGAGAGTGAGAGAGAGAGAGAGATCTGTAGTTTTTAGTGACCGTGCGAGTTAGCGTGCGAGTGTGTGTGTGCGAGTGAGCGTGCGAGCGTGTGTGCGAGCGAGCGAGCGTGTGTGAGTGAGTGAGTGAGTGTGTGTGCGTGCGCGAGTTAGCGTGCGAGTTAGCGCGTGTGTGTGTGCGTGAGCGTGCGAGTGAGTGTGCGAGCGAGTGAGTGTGTGCGAGTGAGTGTGTGCGAGCGAGCGTGCGAGTGAGAGTTGGTGTGTGTGTGTTTTAGTGCGTGTTAGTTAGTTAGTGGTGTGTGAGAGTGAGAGAGAGAGAGAGATCTGTAGTTTTTAGTGACCGTGCGAGTTAGCGTGCGAGTGTGTGTGTGCGAGTGAGCGTGCGTGCGTGCGAGCGTGTGTGCGAGCGAGTGAGCGTGAGTGTGTGTGTGAGTTAGTGTGTGTGTGTTTTTGTGTGTGTTAGTTAGTTAGTGGTGTGTGTGAGAGAGAGAGAGAGAGAGAGAGTGTGTTCTGTAGTTTTACCTCCCAGCTCAGCCTCAGAGTCTCCAAACACCTCTTCTTCATAGCGGAAGATGTCATTGTGCACATAGAACTTATTGACAGCAGAACCCTGGTGAAAACACACACTTAGTATCGTGAAGGTGGCATATATATGAGAGACAAATTAAGAGCTGAATTAACATTGCTTTATACTCTGAAATGTAAAATAAATATTCAATGAAATGAATATAAAACATCAATTTGTAAATGCACCAGTGTGCAGGCATTTTTAGTGCTTTATATACATAAGATTAGATACAGTAAGAAAATGAACAAAGAAAAACAAACTGACAAATACAATAAAACAAAGATACAAGTGAAATAAACAGTGCTTTAATTGTTCCATGAAGGTGTACTAACATTACGGTTCAGGTCAGTAATATGTTTGATTAACGTTGATGGCCCAGTCACTGCGCTCACTTTAACACAATATATATCGACACACAGTGGCGTAACTACAGACAGTGCAGGCAGTGCAGCCGCACTGGGGCCCGTGCCGCGGGGGGGCCCCGCAGCGCACGTGGGCCCTGCCCACATTGAAAGTGACTATAGTAATATAAATTAATAATGAACGTATTAATAATAAAATACAATTAGTACCGAGATTCTTCACAGAACTGAATAAATATATAAATTTGCGTAGCTAGTGTGTTTGCGCTGTAGTGGTCTAGCAGTAGAACTTTTGTCAAGCATTTCCGAGGTTCTGGGTTCTAATCCACCCTCGTGTAGTTTTTTTTCTTCTCTCATTAAAACCAAAGGTGTTCATCAGTGATTGTATATCAAGAACAAGGACATGTTTGTGTGCATTTTGTTTTGTGCTTTCACCAGAACAAAGCGTACGATCGTCTGTGTGAAGACTGCGCATTGTGCACGAGTGCCAAGAGAGAACTGATAACAGCAGCAACGAGCGCTCGCCATAACATTCCAGCGATAGATCGCCTGTTATTTAACACAGACCAACGAATCTGTTATCAAATGGAGATGTTTCTTTAGGTACATCCGTGCGTGCCGCGAGATGTCGCAAAAAGTGGCGGGGGGTCGTGGGGACACACGTCCCACAAGTAAATAAAAATATAACACAGAATGAATAGTCTTGTTTTATTTGTTATATGTCAAAAAGTGGCGGGGGCTCGTGGGGGCACACGTCCCCCCCGTAAATAAAAATATAACACAGAATGAATAGTCTTGTTTTATTTGTTATATGTCATTTCCACGACTTTCCAAAAGAGGAGAAAAATATTCAGATTAACATGTCAAATTTGCCGTCACTCCCTCAGCCGTTGTATAGAAACACCTAGCAGCGCTAATTCTTTTTTTTTGTAATTTATGTGGGGTCTCCTTGAGAGTGTAGGCTATGTAATGTTAAAAAGTTTCATTTTTAATAAAAGTTAATTTAGAAAAACGTTTGGAGCATTTTTTTGTTCGTTAAATGTAAGGTTTTTTTAAAGTAACGACCAAGCGGCCAGCGGCAGACAGTGAGCTGATCATAGCCTATGTTTGATCAATTTAGCCTTCTCAGATAATCACAACTTGCCTAGAATAAAATCTATAGATATAAAACAGTTCAAGCATATCACAATGCTAGTTTAAATGTTTAAACGATATAAATGTGCGCTATTAGGCGCATATCTGATCGTTTGTGTGAAGAGTGGAAGCTGAAGCTCTGCAGCACATGGAGGCACCCGCGCGATCACTCACTCGCATTTTTTTCTTGATGGTGGAAACAACTTAAAATACCCCGTAATTTTTGCTCATAAAGGTAAGAGTAATAGGCTACATTCGCAAATGTAAAGGGTCTACTTTTATTTGTGTGCATTCACAATATCAACAAAACGTTGTGCTTTTATAAAATACATTTGAAAACGGGATGTGCTTGCGTCTGGTCTTGAACAGGAGGCTTCACAAGGATGAACCGAAACTCAAAGAATTGAGTCACAGTTATTGGCCTATTTTTTTTTATCCATGCAGCAAATGCTTTAAAAACCGCTTTCAAAATTATTTTGTTGCATTCCAGATGATTTTAAAGAATGTTACACTAAAATTTTACGGGGTTCTTATCTAGTCTCTTGCTTTTCGGAGAGGAATGCGGTTGCCGCGATTACTGGGTTACTGTGCTAAAAATACAACAACAACAACAAAAAGTTTGTGGTAATTTCAGCACCACAGCGCTGAAACACTCAATGCTTCTGATAACCTTGACTTCTGTGCTTTGCAAATACAATAGGTAACATGCTGGTGACTGTAAAATTCAACACGATTAATTTGGTACTTCTGGCTGCCGCGGCCAGGCGCACGCGCAGCCGAGAGGGACGCACGCAAAGAGTTTCAATTTGAGTTTCGATGTTCAATTTAATATAAGAAACTGATAAGATACTGATTTTAGTTGGTCTAAATTAAGTAGGTTAGGCACAAATTTGCATATATGGGTTCCCTTCTAGACACGAGCGCTGTGTGTTTGTATGTGCTTCATAACCGTGCACCCCAGGGGGCCCGTCGTAATAGCCTGCACTGGGGCCCGTCATTACTAAGTTACGCCACTGTCGACACACATCAGATTTTCTCCCAGCCGTTCACGTCCACTTAAGACATAAACCGTGTTTAAGTGAACACTCTCCAAGCGGGCCATTTGGACATATTTTGTGTGTATTTGATCAACTGAAGCCCGAAGTGTAACTTGCTTGTCTACTGCGGTGCGTATTGGAGCGCACACATATCAGCCAGCGTCTCTTGCGCGGATTATTGTGCTTTCAACGTTTTATCAAACATGTCCCGCAATTTAGCAACAGTAAAGACGGCATTTTAAAACAATCACCGATTGTGCGGATTCTGACGTAAGGTTTGGGTTTTAGGGAGGAACGAATGTTAAGGGAAGGAAGCTGCACTATATCTTCTTTATTATAATCCTTAGAAGCCAAAATCTGGGGGTTGCTCAATGGGGATTTTAAAATCTTACCAGTTTGTTAGTTATCTTATAATCCATTACAGCGTACAAAACAATCGTCGCAGAATGGCAGCAGCTGCGTTTGTATGAAACGAGAGCGAGTCCGCGATACCAGGATGACATTAAATAATTGTACGCAATTATGAATCGAGTTTTAAAGGGGTCATAGGATGCCCATTTTCCACGAGTTGATATGATTCTTTAGGGTCTTAATGAAAAGTCTGTAGCATAAGTTTGGTTAAAATATCTCAATGGTAGTGTAAAACAACACCTTTTTTACCCTGTCAATAACAGCTCTTTTCAGAGTAAGCCGTTTTGTAGCATTTTCCTTTAAATGTTAATGAGCTCTGCTGACCTCGCCCCTCTCTTTCGAGCTGCCTAGTCATCGTGA